TCCAGGAGGGGGCCCGTCGCCGCCCGCCGCGGCTCCGGCGGGAGGTGGAGGCAGGCTGAGCACCCCCAGGAGGTAGGGAGAGAGGGCCGCTTTTCCAGGCCCCCCCCCACAGCCTTGCTTTGTAACCTTGGTGGGGGCCCCCACGGCTGAGCCTGCCCTCATCTGCAAATGGAGGCCCTGCTGGGCCTCTATGCTAAGTCTTCTCTTGCCAGCAAGGGGGAGGGGGTGTCAGGTTGAATGGAGCCTGGGGTGGCCAGAGAGGTGGGAGAGGAGTCAGGGTTAGGTCAGAGTGGGGATGGGCCCCCAGGAAAGGGAGGATCCATCCCTAGCTCAGCCTGTGCCAGCGGGAGGTTTGGCAGTTGGTTTGGTTTAATCAGTGTGGGTAGGTGGGGTGGTGGCTGTTTCCCCCCCACCTCCCCGCCGGCTGCCCCCTGGAATGGAGAATGGCTGTCATGGGTACACCTGCACCAGGAGGGCAGGGATTGCTGAAACCCAGGGAAGGGCGGTGAGGGTCATGTTGGCCAGGGAGGGCCATCTTCCTGGTGGAGACCCAAAACTCTGAAGGGCCTTGCAGTCAGTGGTGCAACAGGGAAAGAAGGTGACTAGATACGAAGCACATGCAGGTGTGTCCTGCAGCCTCCCTCCCTCGCCTCCCCCAAGTGGGTTTCCCTGGTGTGGACACTTTGGGGGAGGTTCTAAACTTTTCAAACTTGGCCACTTCTTTTGTCCTTGTTCTCTCCTTGTCCCATCTTGTCACCTCCACTTCTAAATGTCTGTAGCATTTTACCTAGGGTTCAGGAGTCCAGTGGAGAAGAGGGTCTGGGAGGACTCAGAGGCTGAGATGATGAGTTTTGTTTTTTTTTTTTCTTGCCTGAGCTTCTGACCTAGAGTAAAGGCTGAATGAGTTTCTCCCAGGGCTGAGAGGCTGCCTGTGTGTGTGATTGGGGGTGGGGGGAAGAGGGAGGGAGAGTACGATTCTAGGGATGACAGGGAGACTTCAGAGCCTACATTGCTCTAAGTTGTGACCTCCCTACCCCTGAGGTCCATTTTCTGAGCCTTGTGCTATGAATTCTGGTCAGGCATATAGGGGGGGCTGTTGTTGGTCCTGGGCTTGCCTACTGACCACTGACGGGGCTCTGCTTCCTTTCTGGTCATGAGTGGGTAGACTTGTCAGCAGAAGGGACTTTACCTATTGCCCTCTTTGGAGACAAGAGGCTCCAACAGCCGCTGTGAACTAGGATCCTACTTCAAAGCCCCCTGTCCCCTCAGCTGTAGTCCTGTTCTGGAAGATGACAGCAGGGCCTAAACTCTGAGTTTGATAAATTCATGTCCATCACATCAACTGTGCACCTTAGACACTGCTTCAACAAATACGGGAGAGCTTACTCTAGGTCTGGAATGGGGATAGCAAAAGGAGCTCCCACTGTCCCCCAGTTAACTGTTCTCAGGTCAAGAAAATGTGCTACCAGAGAAGAGAAAAAGGACTGGCACAGGATGGCTGTGGAGCATCATCCAAACAGCGGGAAGAGTGCTGGGGGAGGGAGAGGACTAGGGAAGCAGAAGGGTACAGTGAGCCTCTGCAGTGATGAGGCAGGGCCTCTGTATTCCCAAGTCTCCGCGTTTCCTCCTTTGTTGGGTTCTTAAATATCATGGCCTCACTCTGGGGTGTCTGAGGTTGCTGCCCTAGGTGGTGGCCAGGTAGAAGCTAGCTTTGCTAGTGTCTGGGCTCGCCTGGAATTTGCAGCCTGAGGCCTGAGAACAGCCTTCCTCTTGGTGGGTGGTGGTTGGAAAACTGCTGGTGAGTGTTCGCCGTGTCTGGGCAGGGCTGTGGCCTAGGGCAACATCAGGACCAATGTTTCTACACTCCAGCATCTTCCCACAGGAGAGGAAAAGGCTGAGGCAGGCAAGGCCTCCCTAGATTCAGTGTGTGTGTGTGTGTGTGCGCGCGCGCGCGCGTACATGTGCGCTCACTCATGTGCGGGTTCTGGGGCTCGTACTTGAGGGTGTGGGTGCTGTCCTTTAGCTTTTTTTTGCTCAAGGCTAGCACTGTACCACTTGAGTGATAGTTCCTCTTCCAGCTTTTGTGGTGCTTAATTGGAGATAGAGTTTCTCGGACTTTTCCTGCCCAGGCTGGCTTCCAACAGAGATCTTCATATCTCAGCTTCCTGAGTAGCTAAGAGATAAGCAGGACTGTTAGGACAGAAGTGGCATCTGGATGCCAGGTGGTCCTGGTTCCTAGTCTTAGTGAGTCTGCAAAGAGGCTCAGTTTTCTAGATGTTGAAGTATGGGTTTTAAACAGCTGCTCAGAACAGTGTGGGAGATGAGCATGTGCCATCTGAGCAGAGAAGTCCAGTCCTTGGGTAGTCTCTTGTGTGTCCACAGGCATTTTACTCAGGCTGCTGCAGTCTGATTTTAGTTGTTTTCCCTCTCATGTGGTCGTGTGGCCTGCACTTCAGGATCCTTTGGGAATCATCTTCAGGGTTGTGGAGTGGTCCAGACTTGCTTTAGAAATGTCTCATTAGACTGGATATGCTGCAGGGGCCAGTGCTGGTGTGAGACTCAGTCTATAGCCAAAAGGTAACCACAGAGACAAGCCAAGTCAAGATCATAATCATGGGCTGGGAATGTGGCTTAGTGGTAGAGTACTTGCCTAGCATGCTTGAAGCTCTGGGTTCAATTCTGTAGTACCACATAAACAGAAAAAGCCAGAAGTGGTGCTGTGGCTCCAGTGGTAGAGTGCTAGCCTTAAGCAAAAGAAACTCAGGGACAGTGCCCAGGCCCTGGTTTCAAGCTCTACCACTGGCAAAAAAAGAAAAGAAAAGAAAAAAGAAAAAGATCATAATCATGACTGTCCAGCCTGTGGGACTCCACAGGGGCTGGGGAACGACGCACAGCAGGGCCCCAGAGGGCCCCAGACACAAGGCCCTGAAGTAGTGTGGCTGGTATGCCCTTTACCCCTGGGTTAAGCCATCTGTGAACTTGGCAGGAGAGTGGACCCCATGGGCCGAGTCTCATCCTCAAAGTTGAAGGAATGTCCCAGGGCATTTTATTCATCTGTTTTGGCCTGGCAATGAGCCCACCTCCATGACCCTCTGAGCTTTTCCCAGATGCCCTAAAATGCTGCGGGAGGTAAGGGCAGAGGGGAGGACGACATGTTCTCATGGATCCCTTCTCTTGCCTAGCTCTCAGGAAGGAGCCTGGCCCTGCTTGATTCTTAGCTCTGGTCTCCCCTTCCCCCCATACAGTCCAGCAAAGCTGCAGATCCTGCCTCGTGCCTGTCCAGCCTTGGAAGTGTCTGAAGTCTGGCTGTGTGCAGGCCTTGCCACCTTCTGCCTGGTTCATGCATGCTGAAGGCTGGGTAAGCACTCTGCTGGCAGTGGGCTGCCTCTGTAGGTTAGGCTCAATTATCCAAAAAAATATAAGCAGCCATGGTCTATATTGATTACCTCTTGTGGTTCCCGAGGACCCAGACTCTGTAAAAATGCTCTTTGTACCCAACAAAAAGGATGGCAGCTTAAAGCCAGGTTCTGGTGGCCAGAGAGAAAGTGTGGAGGATATGACCCAGGGATTTCCAGTGAGGGGCTCTTGAGCAAGTGAGGCTCTTTGTGGATCTGGAATGGGCCAGTTACATAGTATAAGATGATGGACAGCCGGGTGCCAGTGGCTCACACCTGTAATCCTAGCTACTCAGGAGGCTGAGATCTGAGGATTGCGGTTCCAAGCCAGCCCCGGCAGGAAAGTCCGTGAGACTCTTATCTCTAATAAACCACTAGAAAACTGGAAGTGGCGTTGTGGTTCTAATGGTAGAGCACTTGCCTTGAGCTGAAGAGCACAAGGACAGCGCCCAAGCCCAGAGTTCAGGCCCCATGACCGACAAAAAAAATGATGATGGAGGGGCTGGGAAGGTGGCTCAGTGGTAGAGCGCTTGCCTTGCATGCATGAGGCCCTGGGTTCGATTCCTCAGTACCACATAAGCAAAAAGAAAAAAGCTGGAAGTGGCGCTGTGGCTCAAGTGGTAGAGCACTATCCTTGAGCTGAAGAGCTGAGGGACAGCGCCCAGGCCCAGAGTTCAGGCCCCACGACCGGACCCCCTAAAAAAAAATGATGATGGACAGTGTCCTGGTCTGTCATCAGCTCTATTGGCTGCATCTGTTTCTCCACCTGTGTTTCAGGCCAAGCGGAGGCTTGCTCCCCAGGAAGATGGCAGCTCTTCACAGGACTTCAGATCCCTCGGCTGTCCAGCTGGAGAGGGTAGAGGACAGAGTGGAATGTGGTACTGACCAGGAGGAGGAGGAGGAGGAGAAGCAGGGAGAGGTGGAAGATTTGGAAGAAGAAGAAGAGGAGGAGGAGGAAGAGGAGGAGGAAGAGGAGAAGGAAGCACAGGTACAGAAGGTGGCAGAGGTGGAGGTGAAGGCCAATTTGCTGGAGGAGGAGAAGAAAGAGAAGGAAGAGGAAGAGGAGGATGAGGAGGTCCTGGCAGAGGAGCCGAGTCCTGGCTTGGAGACGGGGGATCAACATAGCCATGATGGTGACACCAAGTCCACAGTTCTTCTGAGAAAGTGTAAGAAAAAGGAGCAGCCCTTGGGGGAGGAAGAAAAGGGGCTAGGGGGGGATCCAGCTGGGGAGAGCTATGGGGCCCCAGGGGGAGCTGGAGCTGTTGGCATAGCCCAGCACAGGTTTTAAAATGAGGGAGCAGCTAGGTTGCTGCAGCTCTGCTTGCTGTCTGAACACTGGCCTCTCAGAGATCTTTTCCTTCAGCCCTGCAGGCTTCCCGGCTTGTAGTTACTGCTCTAGATGAAGAAGAAGAGGAGGAGGAGGAGGAGGAGGAGGAAGAGGAGGAAGAGGAAGACTTCCTGACAGCTGGGTCCCAGGTGAGCTGCCCTCTGATTTGGAGCAGGTCATCAGGCAGGGTTTCCCCACAGTGCCTCTCCCACCTGCAATCTGGAGCCCTCTGTGGGCAGCAGACAGGACAGGACTGTAGATTCCAGACAGAGGGGCTGAGCTCTGCTTGTTCAGTGACCTCAGAGACCTAGCTGTCCCCCAAGGTCAGGTTGCTGTCCTCATCTGTCCAGGGCCCATTTCCATGCTGCTCAGTGAAATCAGCCAACGGCGCCTACACTCATCTGCACAGGTGCCCTTGCCCCTGGAGTAGGTCCTCACTGTTGACTTGGCTGTTGACATGGAGGGGCTGTGAGCCTTGGTTTTATGCCTCCATAAGATGATCATTTTCCATCTAATCTGGAGTCCTCATCTCTGTATGGGAATGGCCCTCACCTCCAGGGCTGGAGTGCAGCCAGAGGAGGCCCACAAGGTATCTGGGACCCCATCCAAATCCACATCGCAGGTCCTTACAGTGTTCTCACGGGTGGAGCTAGCAAGCTCCCTCAGCTGTTTACCTGGAGCAGCTGACCAGGGATGTGTTTTCCAGGGATTGGTGACCTTTGAGGATGTGGCTGTGTACTTTTCCCTGGAGGAATGGGAGAGGCTGAATGTGGAGCAGCGGGCCCTCTACCAGGAAGTGATGCAAGGGAACTATGGGATCCTGGTGTCCCTGGGTAAGGAAGGAAGGAAGGGAAGGGAAGGCAGGATGGAGGGAGTAGAGGGAGGGAATGCAGGTGGGCAGGCTGGCCTTTGGTTCTCAAAGGCTGTCTGCTGGCATGGCTGTGGTGGTGAAGCCAAGGAGGAGCTTCTCAAGCCCATGGTCTCAAATTGGGCAGGTTCTGAGGCTAGCCTATTCCAGGGAAGACCTATCACTGCCTTGGCCTGTGAGGTAGGGAGGTGAGCCAGGTGGACCCATTCTGTGGAGCTGCTGGCCCAGAGGCTTGGCTGGGGAGCAGGGGAGGGTTGGGGATGGGGCCTGGTAGGAGAGTGGGGTAATGAGGGCAAGGCTTTCAGGAAGGGAAGCACAATCTCCAGGGCAGAGCAAGGAGACGAGGGCTGGACCTGGAAGCAGGAAGCAAAGCTCTGTGGTATGGGGTCTCCTGTAATGGCTACTCTTTTGCTTCTCTTTTGGGTAGGATACCCAATCCCCAAACCAGATTTGATTTTCCGCCTGGAACAAGGGGAAGAACCTTGGGTCCCAGATAGCCCCCATCCTGAGGAGGGCGACATTGTCACTGGAGTCTACACAGGTGAGCATGACAGGGGATATGGAGATCTTGTCAGACTTTGGCCTCTACCAAAGCTGTCTGCAGGCCTGGAACCCAGTCCTTCTGCCACCTCCACTGGTCAGTGCTAGTGGTTTGTAGGTTGAGTGGCTTTGAGAAGACAGAGCTGCTGTGTGCCCTTACCTCTTGATTTCTCCTGTTCTGGCTCCATAAGAGCCTACAGGCAGGCTAAAGAATGGCTCCCAGTTTATGTTGTAGCCTGTTTTTTTTTTTTTTAAATACTACTTTTTTAATGGTATGAAAATGATGTAAGGGCTGGGAAGGTGGCTCAATGGTAGAGTGCTTGCCTTGCATGCATGAGGCCCTGGGTTCTATTCCTCAGCACCACATAAGCAGAAAACACCTGAAGTGGTGCTGTGGCTCAAGTGGTAGAGCACTAGCCTTGAGCTGAAGAATTGAGGGACAGTGCCTAGGCCCACGGTTCAGGCCCCAGGACTGACAAAAAAAATGTGCAGAGGGATTAGTTATGTAAGTCTGGTTGTAGCCTCTTTTTTGTTGTTTTACAAATGAGAGCAGCTGTCAAGGTGTTGGTACAAGTTGCCTTGTAGACCACAAGTATATTCTTTCTGCGTCCAAAATCTTCACGAAGCCTCTGACTTCTCATTTGTCCACTTCTGGAAAAAGGGCCACTTCAGATGAGCCATGGCTGACTGTGGCCTGGGTGGGCAGTTCTGGGCCTTGTGCAGAGACTTGGGGACAGGTATCGAGCCTTGGGCCTGTTCAACTTTGTGAGCTCCACTTGATTCGTGTGAAGAAGAATTAAACCTGTGGATTCCAGCCCGAGAATGTCCAACTTGTGGTCAAGTCAGGGTACCTTGTGGAGTCTGCAGCCACCCTAGGGTTCTGTGGGGTTGGGTGGGGGTCCTGGGCCAGCAAGGGTCTATGATGCTGTCAGTCTGGGAGGGGGTGCTAAGTAGCTATTATTGTCAGCCATCATTATTTTCCTTCTTGTTGATATTGGGCTTGGAACTCAAGGCCACACATTTGTGAGGCAGGAGCTTTACCAAGTAACCATGCTCCAGTCTTAAACTTATCCTTTTTTGTGGCATTACTGGGGTTTGAACTCAGGATCTTATGCTTACTAGGTAGGTATTCTTCCTGCTGGGCCATACCCCCACCCTCACTGAACTCATTTCCTGTCAGCCCCAGTTTGCTCTGGAATGGAGAATGTGGCTGCAGGCTGCACATGGTGTGTCATTAACTGGCTGGTGTGTCCCTGCCTGGTCGATGGTCTGGCCCTGAGTGTCCATGCTGAGCTGCTGTTCTACTTTCTCAGATAGACTCATTGTGCCCCAGTGTCCCTGCTTCCTTGTTCCTGCACCCCCTTCCTAACACATTCCGAGTGGGCACTGGGGTTGCTCACCCTTGCATATCTGTGGCATCCAGAATACTCATGGTGAGTCAGTGATGGCTCCTATAGGACCTGGTACTGTGGGGTGGCTCCTGCACCTCTACTGAAAGTGAAGGGTAAAAGACAAGCACAGCACCCAAATAGAATTTACACAGGAGAGGACAGAGTTGAAGTTTCAGAGGGAGTAAGAGGTAGATGATTAGCAGCAAGCAGCCAGGGGCCTGGAGCCCCCATGAGAGGGGACTCCTACAGGTAGAGGCAGCAATAAACATCGGGAACCTCCGAGAGGCAGACTGTTGAGTGGAGGGGACCTTGGATATCAAGAGTCCCATTTCTAGTCCTAGTCAGGGGACTGGGAGGGCCAGCTTATCCCTGGCCTGGGAATGCTTTTTTCCTTGCAAATCACATGTGAGGCTGAGTGCTGGTGGCACACACCTGTAATCTGAGATCTAAGGAGCGGAAGCCAGCTCTGGCAGGAAAGTCTGTGAGACTTTTGTCTCCAATTAACTACCCAGAAAAAGCCAGAAGTGGCTTTGTGGTTCAAGTGGAGCCATTGTCACTGGACATCTCAGGGTCAAGAACTAGAAACCCTGAGTCATTTCAGCCATAAAACAAAAACAAAAACAAAAAAAAACAGGATGGAGCCATCTCCTGGGCAGGCCAGCTTCTCCAGGATCCCACTGGATCCTCCCAGTGCTGCAGTGATTTTGAGAGCTTCTCTTAAGACTGCAGCTAGCCTTGACCTCCCCAAGGTATGGGTGCCCTTCCTCTCCCTTGCTATGTGTTCTCAGTGGTCTCTGTTCTCTTCATGCATGTTTAGGACAGTGGCCTCTACCCAAGCTTTGGGGGTAGTAAGGTGTGTTCCCCCATTGGGGGTGGGGGTCAGGGTGGGGCTTGCTCATTTCCCTAGTCCACTGGCATTCCTACTGCCCCTGCTGCTTTCTGAACAGAGAGGTGAGTGGGAGGAAGCCATGGGGACCCACCACCCTCCCAGCTCCTGGCAGCAGGGGTGCCTACCTGGCAGCAGGTGGCCCTCACTGGCCCGGTATCCAGTGCTGTGACTCTCCTGATATAGCCAAGTGTTTTTAGTCTTTGACTGTCCTGAGGGGTACAGACTCGTTTGCTCACAAATCTACAAGAAACAGCCATTCCTTAGTGTGGATTCCCTTCATGTTAGGGTGCTCTACTTACCATCTACTTCAGACCCTCATCAGAGCCTGGGGAAAATTCTTTTACCCAGCCAGGCAGTCCTGAGGCCCAGCCTTCCCACACTGGGGAGCAAAGAAGAGCACTCAGCCAGGAAAGGGCGGGGGGACTTTTTTGTGCCACTTTTCTCACTAAAGTGGCCATGATAACCAGATGCTGTTCATTTAAACTTTATGTTTACTCTAGTAGTATAATATTATTAGCTATAGGAAATGTAGACTGAATCACAAAGTATTGCTGGGTGTGATGGTGCGTCCCAGCCACTAGGAGGCGTAGCTTCTAAGAGGCTCATGGTAGGCCCTGCCTGGGCAAAAAGAGGAGACTACCCCCAAAATAAGACTAAAACAGGGCAAGGGTGTGGCTCAGTGGGAGATGAGTAGTGATAGATCACCTCCCTACCCAGTAAGCGTCCCTGAGTTCTAATGCCAGTAACATAAAACATTAAAACATTACAAAATATAAAAAGAATTACCCAGTATTTTGTACTCCTACTTGATCAGTGTGTGGCATTGTCACTGCTGTGGTCAGGTCTCTGCACTTCCATCTGGCTTAGTTTCACTTGGCACTCTGCAGCATCCTCCCATGTCACTGGGTGACCCTTTTGTGCAGAATGGGGGCCTGGAGAAGGGCAGCGTTTGCCATGAGGGGCTCTGAGGCTTCCAGGGCTCTGGTCCTTCCTTGAGCTCTAGCTATGGGCTAGAGTCTGGGGGGAAGCCAGGTGGGTTGAGGTGTGTCCACACTAGCTGTATGTTCTTGAGCCTTCCAGATGCTGTGTGCTCTGATCACCTGGGCTGCCAGGGTCTGGGTGATTTTTTCCTGTGCTACCTGAGTAACTCTCTCTGGGTACTGTGATGGATATAAACTGATTCCAGAGCTGTGCTCAGTGCTAACCCCACAGAGGGAGAGGTTGGAGTTCATCTTAGAGGAGGTGGCAGAAAGTCTGTAGTCTGGTGGCTTGGGGTCTTAAAAGCAGTTTCAGAAGACCCACGCTGAGGTGTCTCTGGAGGGATTAAAACCCTGCAGCACAGCCGCTGGGACCTGTTGGGCTGCCCCCAGGCCACTCTGCCCAGTGCTGCTGTGGGAGTGGGAGGAGCCTCTCACTGCTAGTGGAGCCCAGCAGGGGCTCAGCTGCCAGCCATGCTGTGCTGTGCCTCTAGGCTGAGCTGCTGGGGAGACAGCCCCATCCATGCCTTCCCTCTGTGGGCCCAGGATCGCTGTCTGTCATGGCTTAGTTTGGGTCTCACAGGAAACTGCAGCCAAACTCACCCATTTTTTTTTTTTTTTGTCGGTTGTGGGGCCTGAATTCTGGGCCTGGGCACTGTCCCTCAGCTCTTCAGCTCAAGGCTAGTGCTCTACCACTTGAGCCATAGCGCCACTTCAGGCTTTTTCTGTTTATGTGGTGCTGAGGAATCGAACCCAGAGCCTCATGCATGCAAGGCAAGCACTCTACCACTGAGCCAACTTCCCAGCCCAAACTCACCCATTTCACAGTCTCTTGTCCTCTGCAGCTGACGAGCCCCAGATGGCCTGGGGAACCAAAACCTGAGCCTTCCTGGTTAGGTGTTCATGCCCCTTCCTCACCAAGTCCCCAGCCACTGGTAAGTGGCTTTACCACCAGGGACCTGCTGGGGCTGGCAGGGAAGCAGACCACCTCTCAGTTGCGTGGAGGTCTCCGCCTACAACTCCTGACCCGCTCCTATCACATCCTCTTTTTTTCTTTTTGGGTCCGGTCGTGGGGCCTGAACTCTGGGCCTGGGTGCTGTCCCTCAGTTATTCAGCTCAAGGCTAGCGCTCTACCACTTGAGCCACAGCGCCACTTCCGGCTTTTTTCTTTTTGCTTATGTGGTGCTGAGGAATCGAACCCAGGGCCTCATGCATGCAAGGCAAGTGCTCTACCACTGAGCCACCTTCCTAGCCCCTATCACATCCTCTTATTCCTCTCTTCTGGCCCAACTTTGTCACCTCCAGGAGCCTGGTACTGGACTGACGACCTAGAGGACCATGAGGAGGAAGACGATGAAGACTTCTTGGCAGAAATGACTGAGGAGGAGAATGAGCCACCTGGGCTGTGGTCTGCCGCCTATGGAGTTGGGGACGTGCCTGGGACCTGGGGCCCCGACGACTCGGATTCCGGGCAGACTGCGGAGGGGTGGGGACCGGACTCGGGTGGCCTCGGAGTCCTGGCAGATGAGGCTGGGGCAAAGCCCTTCTTGGGGCGGGAAGAGCTGGCGCCCTGGGCGTTCCCAGTAGTGGCCGCCCCAATTGGGCGACCGGAGACCACATGTGACGTGTGCGGCAAGGTGTTTCCGCACCGGTCCAGGCTGGCCAAGCACCAGCGCTACCATGCAGCTGTCAAGCCCTTCGGCTGCGACGAATGTGGCAAGGGCTTCGTGTACCGCTCGCACCTGGCCATCCACCAGCGCACGCACACCGGCGAGAAGCCATTCCCGTGCCCGGACTGCGGCAAGCGCTTCGTCTACAAGTCGCACCTGGTAACGCACCGGCGCATCCACACCGGGGAGCGGCCCTACCGCTGCGCCTTCTGCGGCGCGGGCTTTGGGCGCCGCTCCTACCTGGTCACGCATCAGCGCACGCACACGGGCGAGCGGCCCTACCCATGCCCGCACTGCGGACGCAGCTTTAGCCAGAGCTCGGCGCTCGCGCGCCACCAGGCCGTGCACACCGCCGACCGGCCGCACTGCTGCCCGGACTGCGGCCAGGCCTTCCGCCTGCGCGCCGACTTCCAGCGCCACAGGCGCGGCGGGGGCTGCACGGAGCCCGGCGGCAACGGCTCGCAGCCGGAGCCCCGCAACGTGGCGATTGCGCCTGGGACCGAGGAACTGGAGGTCGGGCCCGAGGAAGCTGAGGAGCCAGAGACCAGCGCCGCAGACGGAGCCCCTGAGATCGACGAAAGAGGCGCAGAGGCCTCTGTCCTCGAGAACACTAAGGAGCCGGAGCCCGGCCAGCGGCCCCTGGAGGTGGGCAACGGCCTAGGAGAGGGCCAGGGCCCCTCCTCACACCCGCTCGGCTTCCACTTTCCTGTGCACCCCAAGTCCTGGCTCCGACCCGACGGCTTCCCAATCTTGGGCCTCCCTGAGTTCGGAGAGCGTCTGCCAGCCGACGGGCGCCCCGTGCTGGGTCCCCTGGGGGGCCCGCTGGCCCTGGTGGAGGGCGCGGGGCTGGCGTGTGGCCCTTTCAGCGGTGGCGGAGGCAGCGGCGGTGCCGCGGGCGGCGGCCTGCGCGCGTTCGGGCCAGCCATTGGGGGGCTGCTGGCCGAGCCGGCGCCCGCCGCGCTGGCCGAGGAGGAGAGCCCGTGGATCTGCTCGGACTGCGGCAAGACGTTCGGCCGCCGCGCCGCGCTGGCCAAGCACCAGCGCTACCACGCGGGCGAGCGGCCGCACCGCTGCGCCGACTGCGGCAAGAGCTTCGTGTATGGCTCGCACCTGGCGCGCCACCGGCGCACGCACACAGGCGAGCGGCCCTTCCCGTGCCCGGAGTGCGGTGCGCGCTTCGCCCGCGGCTCGCACTTGGTGGCGCACGTGCGCGGCCACACCGGTGATAAGCCTTTTGTGTGCGGCGTGTGCGGCGCGGGCTTCAGCCGCCGCGCGCACCTGACGGCGCATGGGCGCGCGCACACGGGCGAGCGGCCCTACGCGTGCGGCGAGTGCGGTCGCCGCTTCGGGCAGAGCGCGGCTCTGACGCGGCACCAGTGGGCGCACGCGGAGGAGAAGCCGCATCGCTGCCCCGACTGCGGCAAAGGCTTCGGCCACAGCTCGGACTTCAAGCGGCATCGGCGCACGCACACAGGCGAGAAGCCCTTCCGCTGTGCCGACTGCGGCCGCGGCTTTGCGCAGCGCTCCAACCTGGCCAAGCACCGGCGCGGGCACACGGGGGAGCGGCCCTTCCCGTGCCCCGAGTGCGGCAAGCGCTTCTCGCAGCGCTCGGTGCTCGTGACGCACCAGCGCACGCACACGGGGGAGCGGCCCTACGCCTGCGCCAACTGCGGCCGCCGCTTCTCACAGAGCTCGCACCTGCTCACGCACATGAAGACGCATCGAGGCCCGGCTGCGCCTGGCGCGGCGCCGGCAGCCCCTTCGCCCAAGACCCCAGCGCCCAAGGGACCGGCGAGCGCGAGTCCTGGCCGGGGCCTGGGCGGCAGCGCCCTGCTGGAATTCGCGGGAGGGACGAGCTTCGGCTCGGAGCCCGCGGCATTCGCGGGGCCCTCGGGCACCTACGCTGGGAGCCCCGGGAAGGAGAGCGTCCCGTGAGGCGCCGCGGCCCGCGCGCAGCCCACCCCGCCGAGGGGCGCCACCCATGGCCCCGGCTTCCCTCTCTCCCGCCTAAAGAACGAAGTCTAGTGAGGAAGCAAGGGGAGCGGTGGGGCAGCCCCTAGAGCAGACGGCGACCCCCACCCCACCCCACCCCAGCGGCGGGCCAGGCTATTTATTGTGCCCGGATTCCCACATGCGCTGCTGCTGGTCGCCGATGGTGTTCAGGGCGGGAAGTTGAGGAAGAGCGCGGGTCAGCGCCCGTGGGGAGACCCGGGTAGGTGTTGGCCCCTTCCCCCCTTCCTCAGCGGGAGCTCAGGGCCCTTCGGTCGTCAGTGGGCCCAGAAAGCCTTGGGAACGCCAGGCAAGGACCGCTTTGGTCTCAGCTCTCTCCACCCATCCCTTGGCCCTGGTGGCCAGAGGTGGTGGCACTCGGACGTCCTTGGGGTGCCCTCTGGGTTCCCACAGACCCGGGCCCCATCGTCGTTCCCTGGACTGTCCCCTCCTGCAGCAGGCAGACACCCGGGGCCCTGCACCTCGGAGCCCAGGGCTCTTTTAGCTTTCATTGCCCAGTGCGGGTCCAAGGATCTCCCCTTCTGTCCGCCTGGTGCCAGGGCCCCCGCAACCTCCGAAGGCCATTTTAGCTGCTTCTGTCGTCGTCCACACTACATTCCTGCCCCACTGGGGGCCGAGAGGTGGCAGGCCACACCTGAAGGGGGTGGGCCCGAACCCCTGGCACAGTGACACCAAGCAACCAGCTATGCAAGCTCTGGCCTGGTGGACGGCAGTCGCCGCGGGCTCAGGGCTCAGGAGAGGTCACCTCGCATTATACTGTATGGGCCAGAGAAGTGAGGTTTTGAAGCACTGCATTCCCTTTTAGAGCTAGTTCCTTCTGTGTTAGTGTAGACACGGCCGCAGGGGTGAGAGCCAGCGGCCAGGCTGCTAGGTGCTGGTTGGGTTGGTGTGGTAGTGGCGGGTGGTGGGTTGGGAGGAGAGCAGGGGTCTCAGGGAGGCCCGAGTGCTGGGTCATGGCCTCTCTGCCCCAGGCCTTTTCCTTCCCATGTCTTCTGGGATACGAGCCTCGGAAGGAGCCAAAGCAGGGTGGGCCGGAGGGGAGCCCGGCCCCAGCCCTAGGGCCTGGCTACTTCAGCTCTGCCCAGCAGCTGTCGGCAGGACCTAGCTTTAATAAAGATGGCGAAATGAGCTTTCCGACTGGACTCAGTGCTGTTGCGGCCCCTTGAACTGATCAGAGGCTCCGTGTGGCCTGGAGCCCACCTTGTTTCTGCAAAGGGTTTGTAGTTTTCTTGTAAGAATCTAGATTTGGTCCCAGAATGGCTCCTAGAAGTCAGTTCCAGGAGGACCACAGGGCTCTGTGGTCTTGTGGGCACACCCCCTTCGGACACAGGTGTGTAGTACATACTGCCCTGAGATACCACGGGGTGGGGGTAGGCAGAGATTTTTATTTTTTAAGGAGCTGTACAAAGGGATTACAATTTCCTAAATCAAGTTATGAGTTCAGTGCTTCTTGGGCAAAGTCACACCTTCCTTTGCTTTTGGGGGGGCCAACCTGCTGGTGGTTAGAGGGGCAGGGGGCCTCCCTACCTGGTGATCTAGATATGCCCAGGCCTTTCCTTTGTGGTCTGAACACCATGTGAGTTTATTTTGGCAGGCCTGCCTGCTCCAATGCCACATCCAGCTCCTTACCTAGAGCACTAAACGCCTGCTTGTAAACTCATGCATTTTCATTTATATCCTAGGAATCAGCTTTCTCATTCTTTTCCTATGGAGGAAATAGGGAATTATGAACCAGATGTCCTTCACAAATGTGACGTGGGGGTGGAGAGTGGGGTGAACAGCACACGGCAGCCTAAGGTGAATATTGTGTAGTTGAATACTGTGACCTAGTTAAAAGTGGGTGATGTTGGGGGTTCACTAAAAAAAATTATGAGAGCTGAAAGATTCCCTGACAGGGAATTCCCTGATTAAAGTCATTTCATTTTTTCCTTCCCTCCCTCCCTCTCCTTCCTTCCTTCCCTTCTTCTCCTCCCCCTCCTCCTTCCTCTTCTTTCCTCCCCTTTCCTCTTCTTTTCTCCCCTCCCCCTCCTTTTTTTCCTTCTTGTCCTGGGGCTTGAAACCAGGGTCTGGGCACTGGCCCTGAGCCTCTTTGTGCTCAAAACTGGTGCTCTACTACTTTGAGCCACTGTGCTACTTCTGGCTTTTTGTGAGTAGTTTATTGGAGATAAGTCTCACAGACTTCCTGCCTGAGCTGGCTTTGAACTGTGATCCTCAGGTCTTAGCCTCCTGAGTAGCTAGGATTACAGGCCGAGTCACTGATGCCTGGCTTGCATATTTTTGGTTGTATGGGAGACCCCATCTCAATCCAGAAGCAAACACACTCTCCCACATGAGCCTCACCCCTAGTCCTTTTTGCTTTAGTATTTTTCAGATAGGGTCTAGCAGTGTAAAAAAGCATTGTAAACCAAAGCTTATTAAGGTATGGTGGTCATTCACCATACCTTAATTCACCAACATACCAGAGGAGCTGTGCCAGGAGGGTGTGCAGGAAGGGGGAGGCCCAGAGGCCATCCGTGGATTGGTGAGAGGACACTGGAATTCATGGAATTGGTTTCATCTAAATGCCCCATGGGCTAGATCAGAAGGCTCAGGTTCAGTGAAAGTCCCCATAGAGAGCCTTAGTGTGTCTCTTAATGACATCTACCACAGTATTTGTTTGGTGTCTAGTTTTGTTTTGTTTTTCTTGTTGGTTGTGGGGCTTGAACCCAGAGCCTAGACACTTCCTGAGCTTTTTCGCTCAAGGCACTCTACCACTTTGAGCCATAGCACCACTTCCGTGGTGTCTAGTTTCTTAAGTTCAAAATATGGCTTTGGGGCTGTTAAATAACCAATTCCAACTCATTAATCTGGTTTTCATCTTCTTGACAGATATATACAAGTAAACCCCTACAATTCCTCCCCCTGGGCCTTGGAGCATAGGTCCATGCTCTTGGCTGCCACTCTGGGTGGGGGGTATCTGTGGTAGGTGGGGAGTTTGACAGCCATGGCACTGTGTGGCTGAGGAGCTGCTGTTACAACCCTAACCCTAGGTTCCCTTCCTCACCAAGCCTTCTCCTGGTGGCCTGGCTTAGGCTCAGTTCTGTTGGGAATTTCCTTCCCTGCCATCCATAGTAGGTTACCTCCCATCAGTTCCAGAGCAACCTCATTTAGGACTATCAAAGCAGAGTTTGGCCCACTTGAGTTTTGGCTTAGGGATAATCTGATTTTGCAAAATGTTCTATTTTGTGTGAAATAATACTTAAAACCAATAATACTTAAAACCAAGATCAGGGGCTGGGAATATGGCTTAGTGGTAGAATGCTTACAAAGCATGCATGAAGTTCAATTCCTCAGTATCACATAAACAGAAAAAGTTCCAAGTGGCACAGTGGCTCAAATGGTTGAGCACTAGCCTTAGCATAGAGAGGCTCAGGGACAGAGTCCAGACCTTGAGTTCAAGCCCTAGGATCAACAAAAAACAAAACAACAAAAAACTGCAAATGTAATTTAACCATGCTGGGTTTTTTTTGGGGTGGGGGAGGAGGGGGAGGATTAGTTATGGAGCTTGAACTCAGGACCTTGATACTGCCCTTGAGCTTTCTGCTCAAGGCTAATGCTCTACCAGTTTGAGCCACAGTGCCATTTCCAGTTTTCTGGTGGTTAAGAGTCTTATGCACTTTTCTGTCTAGACTGGCTTTGAACCATGACCCTCAGATCTCAGCCTCCTGAAGCAGATAGGATTACAGGTGTGAGCCTCCAGTGCCTGGCCAATTTATGGTTTTTACACATGAAAAGGTAGTACTTCAGCTCAGAGCATAAAATTAAATACAGGGAATTGGACTAATCAGTTGAAAGCAGACAAAATTAGACCCTTAACACACACACACACACACACAATTTCTAGTAACAATCCATGTTATGTGTTAGAAAAATTGCTGTTAGGTTCCAAAACTTAATTTTGTGGGTCAAGGACAGGACAGTTTAAGAGAGCATACACATTTAATTGTTTCAAGCTGATTTACAATGTTAAGGCTATTTACATAAAGCATTTACAGAAAATAATATAAATATGTCTCCACCCTTCAAAATAAGTGATTTGCCTAAAGTCCATTTCTGAATTTCTTAACTTCTACAAAAGTATAACTCTATCAGAATGTCTTTATCACAAACAGAACATTCTAAGTCAACTGGCTTAAAAACAAATTGTGTCTCAAAATGGAAACAGTGGAGACCTTGAAGTGACAAGACTGCCTGGTTCAGTGGCATCTGGATACCACCTTCTTCCAGCCTTTCTGTGCAGGCCATGATCTGAGTATAATCCATTGCTGAGAGGCTTTGCCATGAACGATGTCTGCACAAGATAAGGCTCACCAAAGACCCCACTTCACCTTGACTTGAGTCCAAGGATTACCGAAACCTTTCCCAGAAACAACCTGTGAGCTGTCTTGTCCCTTTTGTCTGTGTGGACATGGGTACTGTAAACTGCCCCATTAGCAGTGAGAAAGGACTTTCCCTCCTGGCTGGAACTCAGCAGGACTGACCTCATGCCCTGTGAGGAGGATGGATGCCCACAGTGACCGGGGGAGGCACCCACAGCGCCTGAAAGTGTTCTCCATTCCTTCAGCAATGGGGGGAGCAGGTGCACAGAGCCGAGCACATTCATAAACACTAATGACTCAAGTCAGAAGACAGCACTTCCTCTAAACACATTTATGAAAGCATCCAGAACACAGGATGAGAACACAGGAATGAGGACATTGTGAAGTGCATGTTTTAGCTGTAGAGTGCAGTAAGTACTAAAGCTATTTCTTGATCCTGAAGACTTCTGGCTTAATTAAAACGGAAGTTTTTGTAGCACTTATTACCTATTTTACACATGTATCTTTATCTCCTTTGCAGACCCATCTATACTTGAAAATATAAACATTGTCTTCTTAGTGGAGGGTAATAGTTCATTATCAATAGCAAATGCACTTAATAAACCAGGGGAGGAATACAAGGAAAGTATATCTAACCAAGTATTTGTGGCAGTTCATATTAAAATGTTAACAAGGTGCTACTTAGAATGGGTGCTCTTACCACATGTTACAAACTAACTGAACATGTAATTCCTATAATGTAACATGCTAAAAACCAAACAAAACCTTAACTATTATATTCCTTGGGAACAGTTTATTATGAGTTCAATGTAGGCATGGTTATCCTGATGAGTTTATATCTATTTCTACTGCGTATATTTCTTCTTCCTTTTTTCACTTTTCTTTTACAAAAAATGTTGTATCAGAAACATGTCCTTTAATAGTAACAACATTCAAAGGAGTCTATTTCCTACACTGCTCCAATTGAAAGAACTCCCTGATAAAGCAGTCTGAATCCATGGTGAAATATATATATACATGCTATTTGTGCATTTTCTCCCATGTAGCCTGGCATCTAGTGAGACATGTGCATGTGGCCATGTTAGTTGTACAGGGCTTGGCCACATTCACCTGTGTGAGTTTGCAGATACACATGTCCCGTAATATATGGGAGCCAGTTATGATTCCAGAACCTGGCTAGATGCTCAAATCATTACATAAATTGATGCAGTCGACATATCCTCTCACATACTGTAGTTTTGGGGCAGTACTTCAGTTTGAACTCCATGCCTTGTGCTTGCAAGACAAGCAATGAGTTGTGCCTCAAGCCTTTCTAGTTTTAGTTAAAAACATTTTTTTTTGTCAGTCATGGGCTTGAACTCTGGGCCTAGGCGCTGTCACACTCTTCAGCTCAAGGCGAGTGCTCTACTTCTTGAGCCACAGCGCCACTTCCAGTTTTCTAGTGGTTTATTGGAGGTAAGAGTCTCATGGACTTTCCTGCCCAGACTGGCTTTGAACCATTATCCTCAGATCTCAGACTCCTGAGTAGTTAGGATTATAGGCGTGAGCCACCGGTGCCTGGTGTTTTAGTTAAAATTTTAAACAAGGCTTTCATTTTTGCTTAAGTCAGCCTGGAATTCAATCCTCCTACTTATGTTTCATGTGTAGTTAGGATAGCAGGTATGTACCAACACACCCAGGGTTTTTGTTGAGATGGGATATCCTACTAACTTACTGCTGGCCCTGAACCTTGATCTTTCCAGTCTCTAGTTTAAGAGTATCTGGGATTACAGATATGAAGCACTGCACTTGGCCCTTTTGTGTACTTTTCAATGCTCTCTCAATTAAGATTACTTACCTAATACAATAAAATGCTATATAAATAGCTACTATAGTGCATTTAGAGTATAATGACAAGAAACATTTGTAATGTTTGGTACAAATGTAAATTTCCCCCAAGTACTTTTACTGTGTTTAATCTGTGGATTTGAAGGCCATGGATACAGACAGCTATCTGTACAACAGTGTCTGATTGCAGGCAGGAGTGTCTAGCTCACCACACTGAAACTTTGAGCTGAGGTCTGACTTCAGAGAAGCCTTCCCACATCCACTACATCCACATTCCCTCTCCTGTGAATCCTTTGATGGCTATTGAAGGCTGACTTGTGGTAGAACTTTTTCCCACATTCCATGCATTCATAGGGCTTCTCACCCGAGTGGGTTCTATAGTGCACAGTGAGGTAAGACATCCGTGAGAAGGCTTTCCCACATTCATTACATTCAAAGGGCTTCTCTCCTGAGTGGATGCGGTGGTGGATGGTGAGATAGGACATCTGAGAGAAGCACTTCCCGCACTCATAGCACTCGTAGGCTTTCTCTCCGGTATGTGTCCTCTGGTGTCTGTTAAGGGCTGAGTTCTGGCAGAAGGTTTTCCCACACTCGCGGCACTCATAGGGCTTCTCTCCTGAATGGATTCTGTGGTGGATGGTGAGGTAGGACATCTGAGAGAAGAACTTGCCGCATATGTAGCACTCGTAGGGCTTCTCCCCACGGTGAATCCGGCGGTGTCTGCAGAGGGCTGAGTTCTGGTAGAAGGTTTTCCCACACTCGCTGCACTCATACGGCTTCACCCCTGAGTGAGTCCTGTGATGGATGGTGAGGTAGGACAACTGGGAAAATAACTTCCCGCACTCGTTGCATTCGTACGGCTTCTCCCCAGTGTGTACCCTCTGGTGTCTCATGAGGGCTGAGTTCAGGTAGAAGGTTTTCCCACAGTCCGCACACTCATACGGCTTCTCTCCCGAGTGGGTTCTGTAGTGCACAGTGAGGTATGACAGCCGGGAGAAGAACTTCCCACATTCATTGCACTCATAGGGCTTCTCGCCCGTGTGTGTCCTCAGGTGGGTCGTGAGAGTGGACTTGCGGCAGAAGCATTTCCCACACTCGCTGCACTTGTAGAGTTTCACGCCAGTGTGAATTTTCTGATGGTCATTAAGGGCTGACTTCTGGGAGAAAGTCTTCCCACAGTCGTGACACACATAAGGCCGCTCTCCCGAGTGCGTCCTCTGGTGTTGGGTGAGGTGTGTCTTCTGGCAGAAGGACTTCCCGCAGTAGCTGCACTCATAGGGCTTTTCTCCTGAGTGCGTGCGCTGGTGCTGGATGAGGTGCAACTTCTGGTAGAAGTTCTTTCCGCACTCAGTGCATTCGTAGGGCTTCTCCCCTGTATGAGTTCTCTGGTGGACAGTGAGGGTCCCCTTCTGGCAGAAGGATTTCCCACACTGGTTACATTTGTAAGGTTTCTCTCCTGTGTGAGTCCTCTGGTGGATGATAAATTTTGACTTTTTACAGAAGGATTTCCCACACTCACGGCATTCATAGGGTTTCATTTCCATGTGTGGTCTCTGATGGACATTGAGGTCTGACATCTGGAGAAAGGCCATTTCCGATGCATTCCAGTTATAGGACTTTTCGTCCACATGATTAAAAACTGGGTCCTTCGGGAAGGCTTTCTGGCAGTCAATGTATTCAAAGGGTTTCTCTAAAATATGAATTTTCTGATAAAAATTCTCTTCATTCAGTGTGTAAGCATCTCCATTTTGATGATCTGAATTACCTCCAGGATGGGCTTTCTGAGGCTTCATGTGGAGGAGCGACTTCCCACATCCACTGCACTCGCTGGGTTTCATGCTTGCATAGCTTCCATCACTGCTAATGTATTCTGGAACACAGGCCAAACTCTTTTCACACAAGTCACACTTAGAGGCTATTTTCCGAGGAACAAGGTTCTTCTCTACACTGAAAGCTTTCCCTGAAACACTGCTTCCCTCTCCCACCAAGCTTTTGTTCTTGTAGAACACAGGTGGCCTTGAATGTTTAGCTTTACCTTCCCATGCTCTGTTCATAAGGTTGTTCTCTCGCCAGACCTCATCTAAAAAGAGGCAAAATGAACCAACTTTTGTACAACTTCCGACACAAGACATACTGAGACTGGAACATAGCATTTCATCTAGAGGTAAGCCCTGGACTCTGTTTCCAAGTGCTTCCTCTTACTCTTTTGTTTGGAATAGCAGACACACTCCAACAAGGGGGAGAGGAAGTAAACTGACAAAAACACAGCATCTATGATGATGGTTACTCTGTGTTCTTTTGTTCACAACAGGGCATGAGGTAAAATCCAGAGCAGGGACTGGCAGACAAGGATTTGGATGGAAGAATGAGTGTTATGAATGGACTCACACGCAGGAGAATGGACAGGACAGGAGCCCTGCTGCACAAGGAGGGGAACAGGACTATGCAGCAGGGCTCCACCTGGTAATGGATGAGTGCCTTCCTTTCTACTACTTCACATCATGGTGGAGGGAGGGATCAAACTTGAGGCCTCATCATCTATATTACAATTTTTTTTTGGGGGTCCGGCCGTGGGGCCTGAACTCTGGGCCTGGGCGCTGTCCCTCAGCTCTTCAGCTCAAGGCTAGCACTCTACCACTTGAGCCACAGCGCCACTTCCAGCTTTTT